ATGTAGCGCTGATAGTCTATGAAAACAGCAGTACTGATGGCAGTCTTTGTTTCTGTGCTTTGCCTTAGTTTCAGCACTCTGGAAGTGTCAGGTTCGTCTTAGGGCAGCAGCAGGTGCTGGGAAAGTGGTGGGTTTCTGCTGGGAGGGGCAGACAGCATTTCTTTTTTCCTCTGATGTTACTGCTGTGTTTGATTCTCTCGGCAAATGACCATAAAAAAAATCTGAAAATGGTCAGAGGAATCACAACATTTGACCCTTCATCTTTAATTAAAAGTCAGAGTATTGCACCATAAACACAGCCTTAGTAAAAGCAGAATGGGATAACAAGGATTTGTCCTCTTACCAGAGAGAACAGAGTTAATCTTTGCTTTCAGCTGTGTTTTAAAAGAAAGTGGTCACAACTGTATTGTAAAATCCTAATTTGGTAAGGATGTTTTGAAAACAGCTACTTAGATTGAGCTCTACATCTGGGGCAGCTGCCAGTGAATCCTGAGTGGATGCAGAAGAGACCAGAATGTGCCTGGCAGGTAGAGGAGACCTTCACCTGTTGGGAAGGTTTTAATACTGATAATAAGATTAACAGGGTTTTGAGGTTGCATCTGAAGATGCAAGATAAAAGCATCTGAATTTGACCAAAATCCAACTTAGATACTCAAGATGTGAATACTTTTACTATAGCAGTCTAAATTTTATGTTTCATCCTCTTCTGTATCTCTTACCTCTTCAGAGGCCACAGTCTTGTTTCTTTTCTTTTTTCCTCCCTCTGAAGTGTTGCACATTGAACTCCAGAAAGCAACTGTTTACATTCGGAGTCTAGTACTAATCCTGGCACAACAGATTTGATTGTTTATTTGCCAAGTCATCTAGCTCAGTTTCTGTGGAATTCATGACATTAATGCTGTTTTAATAATACAATTAAAAACTAAGTTTAAATAGACATAATTTAGTTTTGAAACAAAAAGTATAAATTGAGCTGTTTTTTAAGAAGAAGAAATGAAGTTTTATTTATAATGAATTCTTGTAAGTAGTACTAAGACCATTTTAGTTAGGAAACATTACAGTGATTAATGCATAGTTATTTGCATTTTAATACTTGATTTATATATCAGATCTGTATTTGTGCACACTGTCAGACTTCATTCTGTTCTTGTCAAAATACTTATTACTTCTGACAGGTGTAACATGCTCACATTAATCCTTAATTCCTCGATTCAATTTTCTAATTGCTTTTTTGGCATGAGTTTGGAGCCATTGAGTCTTACATGAACTATTTGTCTTACGGTATAATAATGCACTTTTAAAAATTGGATGCACCTAACTTAGAATGTTGAAAAAAAAATATATAGAGGGATGTTACTTAGTACTGAAAATCAGAAGTTTTATAGCACTTCTGAGAGGCACTACTTCTTGGAACACAGATAGAGCCAAAACACTTTACACTTTTCATCTTCCCGTATTCACAGTATGAAATATTTTCATAGATACAAATTGATGCTAAAGATTCAGTGCATTTTGCCCAAGGAGACACTGAACACTTAGAGCTGCTCCCTGAATATCCCCTGAGTCATTGTTGTGTTCTGCTGCTCTTCTCACCTCTTCAGGCCACTGCTTTCTGTTGCCTGTCCTACCTGCCAAGGGCAACAGAATTCCCAGCTTCTTCTGGGTCTGCACTCTTAAAGCTGCTCAACTCTGTTATTCCTAAACAGCCAAATACAATAATGCAAGATTTACTGGAGTTTTATGATACAGGTATGAATGTGGCATATACTCTGTCACGTGTTTTTATTCCAGTAATTGTAATGTTGTCATCTGTCCTTTGTGTAGGGAAAAAATAAGTCAGTCCAAAGGATTCTTCCCAAAGCTCAGTATTTCCTCATGAAATTACCTAGCAGGACTTTGTCTAGGTCTTTTTAGAATTTTCAGAAAAAAGACTTGAAGAATGTAGAACCTTTCTGCTAATAAAAATCTAGGGCCCCAAGAAGATTACTCCTGACACTTATTTTCTGTAAATAAATGCACAACTACACACCTAAACTGTGGATGAAACGTTATCTCTTTCTTTTTTAATTATTGTCTGTTTTAATCCCCACCTTATCCACTTATTACTCCTTTCTATATCCACTGAGTTACTCTTATTTCCTCACTATCAACACTAATATATGTTCTTTCACCCTTTTATTCCTTCATAGTTTTCATCCACTGTCTTTTTCACCTTCCCAACTGACATACCTCCTTCTGTCATAGTGGGTGTAAGAAAGGGAATACAGGAGTAAAAGTTTGCAATTGTCATTTGAGCTTCTTGGCAAAACACATAAGTCACTTTCTGTTCAAGGGGAAAAAAAAAAAAAAAGATAATTCTAGCAAGTAAATCATGGTAGCTTAGTGCTTTGGGCAAACAAACTTGTGCCTTATCTCTTCCAAAAAACCCGTGGAAAATGCATGATAAATGGCACATTTCAGGGAACATGTTATGTCACTGTGAAATAACTTTGATTCATGATTATGTATTTATCTTTAAACAACTGACAAACCTTAGGGTATCTAAATTATTATCATGTGCTCTATGCTACTGTGGTTTTCTGCTAGCAAACCTGAGTGATGTGAGGCAAGATAAGACATCTGCTTTTTCAGTCACAGTATTCTATAAAGAACAAATAAGCAGAACATGCTTACTGTATTTTATATTAGGATGAAGTCCTCTGAAAAATATTTATCAGAAATCATTTCCTCCAATTGTGTTTTGAAAAGCATTAATATAAACTTCAAACAGAAAAGGACAGGACCTGTTTATCAAAGGTTTTATATTCCACAGCAAAAGAAAATATCATCATTTGGATTTATAATAAAGTAATTATTCACAAATTAAAAGGTATAATGGTAAATTTGTTCCTTTCAGCTGTGTGTTTGCGTAAATTCTCTTCTGAATTACGTTTCAAAATGAAGATTTCATTTTCTCTGCCCTTTCAAATAGAAAGGAATCATGTTATTTGATTTTCTGTTGTGACAAATCAGGAAAGATGATTTAAATGCTCTATTGCTTGCATTAGTAATACCAACTATTTTAATTGTAAATGCTGTATAAGGATTCAGATGTGTATAGTGGAAGAGGACTTTTCCAGTAATCCACTGGTGCTACTTTTGTGCATGTGAAATCATTGCTGTTAATATTAGTAAAGTTCTTTACCTGTTTCCTGCCATTTCTGCATTGCTTTTAGGATCATATCATCCAACAGTGCCTGTCTAGATGTTTTGCTGATAATAAGTCTGTGGAAGTCAAGAGATATACAGCAGCTTACACAAGTTCAGAATCTGTTCTCCATGTCTGTTCCTTTGGCTTACATTGAGCCAATAAGTTACAAAAAAGTTATTATTAAATGGTACAAATACAGTGCACTCAGCTTACAACATATTCCTTATGTTGATTTTTCAAAAGCTGGGTTGGGTTTTTTCAGCTGAAGCTTTTGGGGTTTTACTTTTCCATTTCATCATTTGGTAAAGGTTTTAGTGAATGTCAGTTGTCAGTCCTTATGTCATGGTAATTCTAAATTAGATGACATTCCTCACCCAAGTTATTTTAATGCTATGGCCTCAAATCAATCTACAGAGATGCCTTTTAAATATGACCATGAAGTGGAAAAAAAAAAGTATATTTATCTATTTTTCCATTTATTGCTGTTTCCTTATCTTCACTGAGCAGTAATAAATGTTGGTTACTTGGAGGTAGAAAAACAGAAAATTATAATCTCTTTACATGATGGAAATGTCTTTGTTTTCCTTATATCTAGTACTTTGCAGTGTATTTAGCTTGGCTAAGCTATCATTTTTTTCTTAGAATGCTGGAATCTGTTGACTTTTATGTATACATTGCATTTTGTATGTAAATAGAAAGTTTTATGGCTTTGAATTTTGAATCAAAACGTCAAACTCCTATTTTGCCTTTGTACATGACAGACATTTAAAAAAATTACAAACAAAAAAAAAAGAAAGAAATACCCTTACTGGTTTTGACCCAGAGTTTTTAGAAATATCTTTAGTGCTTGACTAAACATTTAAGCTCTCAAAAGTGAAATACCTATCTCTTAATGAGCACAAAATATGGAAGCATGTAAATATGGAAACACTGTAAATTGTCATATTAGAAACTTATTATTCTATAGCTTTGTAGACTGCTTTGTTTTCTTTTCCAGCTCTCACTATCCTCAGTCTTGGTAAATTGAGAACAATATGGTAGAACCCATTTAGTTGAAAGCTAACTGCAAATTAAACGATCTATACAGTTAATGAGAGTTGGGAAACAGCACAAACCCCCTGCCAGCACAAACACTGCTATCATAGCTTTATATGAGATAAAGTAAGGTGATAATCACACAGGCAACATTTTCAGAGAGTTTATATGTAAATATAGTAACACTGCACCTATTTTCTGCATATGCCAAAAAAAAAAAATCTGGAAGGTCCTGCCTTCAAGAAATCATTTGTTTACCAGGAGGGGCAGAGAGAAGGCAGAATTACTGGACTGGGAATCTCAAGAGGGATTGGCTATGTCTAGCTATCAGTATATAATATAGATTTGCTCTCATTTTATAGTTTTGGTATTAGGCAGTAAGGGATGCTGTTGAAGCACAATTCTTTCACATGGATACTTCTTAATAGAATAGGGGGAACTGTGCTCCTCTCAGATACCAGTGTGCACATCAAAAGGTTTTGCTGTTTTCTAAGCTTTAAGTTGATATTACTACATTTAGCAAACTATAAAAATCAGTATAATTTTGTTGTCTTTATGATCTTTTAATTTTTTTTCTGTTTGCTTAGATCTGCAGCGTGGGCTGTTAGAGCCCATTTTTAAGTCAATTATCAGGGTTAGGACAATCTGTTTAAATGCAAAGAACTAATTGGGGAAAAATATCTTCCTACTGTTACACTGAAACTTAAATTAAAGATGTACAAGTAAAAATGGAATGGAAATCTCAGATGTTACAGGAATTATGTTCCTTTTTCAGGGTGCTCCTAAACCGATTGCCATTGAGCCGTGTTCAGGAAACAGAGCTGCAGTCCTGACGGTGTTTTTGTGTCTTCCCAGAGGACCATCAGGAGTCCCCCCACCTGGTCAATCAGGTAAGACTTGTGTGGGTGAGTGTTGTGTCTGTCTTTGTTCAGCACCTTCTGCTTGGGCAAATGCACCCACACAGATCCAAAATAATGGCACAGGGGATACACACAAGGAGCTACTCAGATAAGCTGATATTAAGTGTAGCGCCGATGTTTAATGCAGGAATTTTGGTTTGGAATTTGTTCTTGCGTCACAATAAAGAGCTCGTTGATTAAACTAGGCTGGTGTACAGTGGCACATCTTGCTAGGACTTCGGAAACAATACCTGTGCATGTTGATATGCTCCAACATTGTCTCTCAGGGTAAAAAAATTTCCTCTGCTGTCCCTTCTATGGCTTCAGTTCAAGCTCTAAATGAGGCTGAATAAGGAATATCAGTGAGTATTCCCAGTTCAAGCTGCTATTGAAATCTAGAAGCTGATATTGCAGTCTAGTTTTCACAGTGAATCCCAACACTTTGCTGTCCAGGACACAATTAGAATATTACTATTTCCCAGAATGCCTGTCAGATAAAACCTGGAATTGTGTGAGTGAATGCATCATTAGGGAGGTGGTCACTTTGGAAATGATCCCACCTCATTTTAAGGCACCACTTGCGTTATCTGAAAGCACTTCTTGTGGTAACTTACCCTATATGATCTATTCTAGATCATTGTACAAAACCATTCTCATAAAATACTTCCCAAACAGGAGGTACCTAAATACACTTTTTAAACCCTACAAATAACTGCCTACAATGATATGATACAAAGCAACCATGACAAAAAAGTGTAGACAGTGATGTGACGCTGCATATGTGACCAGTTTACTATTTCAGAATTCACTGGAACTGCTGTTGAAATGAACAACTTTGTAAGGGATGGTAAACTGCATGGTATGTGCCCAAAATGCTCCTATAAACCAGAAAATATGCTTTCAGGCTAACTTTTATCATTAAGAGCCAAAAAGATATCCTTTTAACCTTCAAAAATCCATTTAAGAGATTAAAAAGTATTGAGTAATGATGAGGGCAAACTCAGTTGACTTGTGTTGGAAATAAGCTCAGCTGGGTGTTCTTCTTCTTTTGGCCTGATCCCTATCTGTTATTTATTTGGGGGGTTTAGTTCATTTTTTGAGGGGGAAGGGTGTTATATATTTTTTTCCCCTGAGTTCTAAGATGAGGACTTAGTTCTTAAAATGCTGTTTATGGCTTGGAGTATCATTTTTGGAAGTGCTATGAAAATAAAAGTGTTGCTGTTGCTTTGTCAAATACATTTCCTGGAAGAAATATATAAATATAAGTGCTCTGAAGAGAGCAATGAGAGAGGAAGGATATTTAGCGTATTCCCTGTTCACGTTTTAAGGAAATGAAGGTGTTTATAGTCTTGCAACAAGAAAAAAACATTATGAAAGGAAATTAAAAGTAATTGTTGAAATTGGAGATTAAAATGGTTTTGGAGGAGCTTTTTTTCTGTTTTCAAATTTACCTATGATGTGCATCTTGGTAGTAAAAATGTATTCATCGACTTTCTTCATAGTCAGCTTCTATTTACCATATAAAGGAGTTCTTTAAAAGTAATTGCTATTCTTTGCTGTGTGTAAATCATGTAAGGAATAGGCTTTTTGAAACAGGACTTGGGTTCTACAACACATCAGATGTGTTCTGAATCAGATTGTGAATGTTTCTCCATCTATGTAAGAACACACGTATTTTTTACATGTGTTACGTTCTCCTATTCTGCTCTGTCTTCTTATTGCTCTACCTTTCATCAGCTTTGCAGGCATATGTTTGGAATGCTATCCCTCCATTTGTTATTACGGTATTTGTCAGCTATTTAGTGTATAAAAAGATGTAAACGTTTTAGTCCCACAACTTTCACCTTGTTCAGGGTCAAAAACAAATAGAAATGTTTGAGGTGTGCAGCCATGCCGATTCAACCATTAGAGTGTCTAAGATTACATTGCTACAATCAATTTTGTCTGGGAGTAATGAATTTTGGTACTCGTGGTCTGCTTTCTCTATGTGTAACCATGCCCAGACAAGGCAGAAGCTGTTATGCAAGTTTGTTGGCATACCTGTAGCTGATTCACTTCATTCCTGTCCTGCAGCACTACCTACTGCTTCTTTCCTGGGCTGCCTGGGAGCAGATGCTGTGAACACTGCCAAGTTTTTGGAAATGATGTGGAAACTTCGTGCTGCACGCACGTTTGCTGTGCAGTTGGTTTCCCCCGTGACCTAAGCTAGACGGAAACAATGATATTTAGGTGGATGGAAGTAGTGTATTCAGTAATTATGCCATGCCGATATTAGAATCCTCTATTACTTGAATATAACCATTTTCAAGCTCATTGGGATCATTCAAGGATAAAGCTGACAGTGTGTCAAGCATTTTTGTTTAAATGATACGTCAGTGATACTGATTCTCAGTTCACAATGAGACTGTGGGTCTCATTTCTTCCATGCAAATGTCTGAGATATAAGAAGGGAATGCCTGTAGTGTTACTGTTTTGCATCCCATTGTTTCCAAAATCAAGAAAGCAAATTCTTTGCAGAAATAACTAAATCTATGCGCCACTGGAGCTGTTAGTTGTATCCCTAATTTTTTAAGTTCTGAATCTGAGTTTTACTTTTCCAAATTTTATATCAACAAATATTGTGTTGAAAAGCGTCTCTGAATGTTAAAAAAAAGAAAACAACCAAACTATAAACCCCCCAAAGAAAAAAAAAAACCAAACCCTAATGTAAAGGTTGCTCTTTCTGCAGCATATGTTCTATGCTTCACCTTTATCGGCAGCTGGAAGAAAAGTTGAAGCTACAGATGGTGGGCTTTGGCCAAAGGCTATGCACAGCAAAAACTTCTCTAGCAGAGACCATATGTCCCAGTGGAAATCTATGTGTTCCCTACTTCCTGCAGAAAATATTCAGAACTTTTCAGACTGTCAACAGCATTGTTTAGCTCTAAGTGCTAATTCTAGAAGTATGCAAGTAACAGCTTGGTTGACACAGTTAAACCGCTTAAAATTAATCTGTGATTTTTAGGTAGGTTTTATACAGATTGGTCACACAGATTTAATCAAAATATTGATAAAAATAAATGTATTGCAAAAGAGAAATGCTATTCATTGTGACTCATGTTTTTTAAAAGGGACTTTTTCAATGAAGGGATGACTTGTAGAATTAAACACCCTGAAAGTCTGGAAAGTCATCGTAGTAGGTTAGGTGTTGAACAGAAGGCCTTACAGTTTCTTTTAGGTACAAGCTAACAATTCATTTATTCTTCTCTGGAGTACCAACCGGTTTTAAATGAAATTTGGCTTTGATTAAGGCAGAAATTAGAACCAAAGTATGAATTAAAATGATCAATGAAAACTATTAAAGAAGTTAAATTTCTCAGATTTGGATTGAGTGATAGAACCTGGGGTTTCTTCATTCTTCAATTGTCTCATTGACAGCATAGTACTTTTGTAATCAGATCAAAACTAAAAAGTTCAAGAATATAGCAGTTGTCTGTGAAATTCATGTGTGTATCAATATGAATGCATCAGTGTAGTGCACATGTGACAAGTTTTATGATAGATTTGAAGCTAGAGCTTGTCATTTATTGCTGTAGTGTCTGACCCCATGCTTTAAATAGCTTACACTCTTCTTAATACCAAAGCAGATCTAATAACCAGATCTCTAGAAAGAATTAAATTATACGTTGCACAGGGTATTGAACAAAACAAGTTAGACTGAAAAAAAAATTATCATATATAAAGTAATGCAGAAAAAGATGCCAATGAATTACCAGTAGCGGAAGGGCCAAGAATAACTCCTTCAAGGTTTTCATACAGTTTTGGTGATATATTGGGCAATACAGAAAGAATAGTTTGGTAATGTGATAAATTCTGTTAAAAGAACTGTGATCCTGTCATTGTTACTACTAAAGCCAACTAAATCCCTTACTTTGAGGTATCGAGTTATTGTACAATAAGTTTACAAAATAGTGTTTTGCATCGTTGTTGGATAAGGCCACTAAATGCCGTAAAGGACAAAGGGAAGTGAGAATATTAAAGCATTTCAAAATAATTCAGGATCAAGGAGTGTAATTTCTGAATTATTTACAGGTTATGTTGCTTTCACACAGCAACATTTTCTTATCTACAAAGAAGGTAGAACACCCAGTAATGCAGCTTCCCTATTAAGGCAGTGAGCTGAATGGTCTCTGCAGGTCTGCATTTATGGGTGTCTCTATTAAACCTTAATGGATATCTAACATCTATATGGCCATGGCTAGGTGAGGTGAATCTAACTTAATAGGTAAAATAACACTTGGAAATTAAGTGGAAATTAAAATAGAAGGCTCGTGCAGTTTTCTGTTGCTGTAAGTATAGATTAAGATGGCAAAATCTAGTGTTGCCCAGGCCTCTCCAGCAGTGCTATCTGAAACTTCCTGTCTGATGGCCTTGACTCAAAACAGGATTTCATGTAGTTCTGGCCACACTAACCATGGCATTCAATCCTATTTAATCAGCAAGCTCCAGTAGGATCACAGAATCAATAAAACTACCATGCCATCTGCCTTCCCTGTACTCACCATCATAATGAATAACGACTCATTAAGTGTTCTACAAGACAATTAGCTCTGGATGAAAACAGTAACAAGGCTTTCTTGATTCTATTTATAATTTTCTCCGATTGAAATATAAAAAAGCTAATGCGTATGATAAAAGGCATATTAATAAATATGAATTAACTGCTAGTTTTTATAGAGTATTTTATTTACTTTTGTTGCTCAATTTTTTATGATCTTTGGAAACAAAACCATAGGTTATGTTTTTCATATGTAGAATGGGTTTATGTGTGTACCTATCTCAGTATGCAGTGAACTAATTGCAGATATACACTGGGGCATGTAAGTCCTATGAATTTCTACCTGCTACAAACACATTCCTTGCTCAGTCCTTTCATACTTGCAAAATAACTTTAAAAAGTCAGTAGTGCTACAGAGGTGAGAATAGATTTTTTTCTAGAAAAAGAAAAGAGG